CTGCTTTAGAGTCCAGTGATAACTTCAAGTTTGTTTATGAAAATGTGTTCTGCTTCAGCTTTATTTGGTAGCTATGCTAACAGCTAAAAGAGACATGAACTTTTAGCATTGTGGGCAAAGGAAAATATACCCAAATGTTCAGTTATAATCTACTGTCAGTGTGTGGTGAGTAAAGGCCTCAAGGTGATGTACAAAAATATAAACTGAGAAAGGTTGGATTTTCCAGCAACATGAGAGCAAAGACCTCTGACTGCAGTTATTTGCTCCATTTACAAGAGCAAAGGTCACCACCAAATCACTGTATTTTACTGAGGATCACTAGGGTTCAACTTTATAAACTTAAAATGTCGTTTAGAATCTAATCCCAAGTCAGTTTGACATTTTCCGTTCACATGTCCAGAACATGTCTCAGGTGGCCCAAGCAAAGTGACCCCAATGCCTCTCAGAAGGGAAAGGACGGAGAGGTTTGAACTTACCGTTTTTAAAATTTGAAGTTAAATGAAAAGCACTAACATCTTTTTTTAACAGTTATTGTTAGATTTCTGGATACGCACCCGAGTGTCCCCTTCAGGTGCCAGTGGATCGGTCATCCAGGAGCCGAACCTGGATCCAGACGTCTTGATGGTGATGGGGTCGCTGATGCTCGTCAGCTTGCCACATGCTGCACAGAGAGAAGGGGAGGAAGCAAAAACCTTTCAAATCCAAACTCTGATGGATTGGAATTGCTGCTTTTTAATTTAAAACTAAACGATTTAGCTTGATGGATGGGGGGGGGGGGGGGGTGTTGTACTCAGTGAGAGGTGCTTATTATTCAGTTTACACCATCTAATGACTGTTTCACGCTCAGATTGTGGTGAAGTGAGAAAAGTGAAAAGTAGGACAGGGAGAGGCTTTCAGTTCCTTCGAGTTGAGCCGTAGTGCTAATTAGCGTTGATTTGGGTGTTAATGAAAACGTGACAAAGCTAGCGCTGGTCTTTGTGTCCCTCCAGACAGACCGGGTCCAAAAACATGACCTGATTAAATTTCTTTATACATCTAGTTTTGATTTTTACATGATTTGCACACAGAAAAGGCAGTTTTATTAAAGCAGATGGATGGAGTGAATGTTGCTAATTAGGCCGGTCTGTGACGGCTGCTCATTTAAAGGTTGAATTAGTCTCTTTTCTCTGTAGAGCTTTTCATCCATTAGTCCTTTATCTCTCCTGGTCCTCATTGTTGTGGAATAGCAGACTGCTTTGTGCTCAAACAATAAGGATTAATTTTTGCTTCCCCTTTCTGTAAGCTGCTTCACGATCTCATATCTGTGTGTTTCGTAATAAAACGTGATGCTTTTCTGTTGTGCGTTGGTGTGTGTGTGTGTGTGTGTGTGTGTGTGTGTGTGTGTGTAGCATATGTCCTGCCTGTGAGTGTGTGGGCAATGCACCTCAGCTACAGCTGAGACAAACATGCTCACATGAGCTGCAGCTACCTTCTCTTACATAAACCCCAGTGGGATTAAAGTCCACATTAATACGTTGATTATTGCTTGCAGAAAGGCTAAAAGAGGGCTTTACTGTTTTTGCCTGTCTGTGTGTTCATTTCTCCATCTGTTAGCAAAATATCTCAAGAGCCAACCGATGATTTTTTATGAAACTCTCAAAAAGTAACCAATGAATGGACATGTCAACTTATTAATGTTTACAGTCAAACTAATTGAAGATGGCTGCCACAGCTTATTGACCTTACAAAAACAAAATGAGCTGTAATTCAGTCAGCTTCACAAACACTGGTTAAAAATTTGATGTGGTAGTAGCTGAGAGTCATTCAAAAAAACACATGCTTTGAGCGCTACGTTATGCTCAAGCTATTTGCCTAACATTCAGGTATTAAATATTGGGGTCAACCCACTTTGTCGGTTAGCAAAATATCTCATAATCCACAGAACAGGTTCTAATAAAACTGTCAGAAAGTAATTAATGGATGTCCATCTACAACTAATTAGGTTTTGGGGTCAACCCAGTTTAAGATGGCCATCGTAGCCAACTGAACATCTAACTTTGGTTGTAATTGAGTCAGTTTTATAAATCTTGGTCTAAAATTTGGTGGGGAAATAGAAAACATTCACAACATACAAGCACAACTTTACTCATTGTGCAAAATATTTTCCAAAAACACCTTGGCATCAATGTAGGAGTCAACCCTTTTTGTTAGCAAAATATGTCATAAATCACTACACAGAATGTACTGAAACTGTCAGAAAGTAACAATTGGTTGTATGTCTACAATTGATTACAGTTTTGAGCCTGTCCAATACAAAATGGCTGCCTCAGCTAATCGACATTAGCCAACACAAAATTACTATGACTATATTTTTACACATGTTGAGCTAAAATTTGACATCACTTACAGGACTCTGTGCTTTATGTCACATAAGGTTATTTTTAAGGTTTGAACCAAACAGCTAAAGCATCATTGTTTCACTGCATTGGGTGTTCTTATTTCTGAACCTTGGCATACGACTGTGTTTATAAAAGACCACTGCAGAGTTTAATCCTGTCAGGATCTGTGCTTTCAGTTTATTATTCAGATTTCTTTTTCTGCTTTGGTCTTTTTTGGATTTTGAGTTCATTTCTCAGTGTTTCTCTGTGTCACCATTCATTATTGCTTCTCAAGCAGTCCTTGTCCTAGCTACTCACTGTTATTTCTTTATTTTTTATTTTAGTTAATCTTTTAAGCTTTACTCATCTCAGCCTTCATTCTTGGGTTCATTTTTGCCTTCAGATGTATTGGTAACGCTTTCTTTTATGGTACCATTATTACCATGTAATTACAAGGTAATAAAAATGTAATTAAATTGTAATTACTACCTTATTACCGTGTAATTATGTGGTAATTAGGGTACAATTTTACTATGCAATTGTCTGCAGTAATGTAGCACTTACCTGGTAATGTATTACAATTCACTATGTAACACCTAAATAAGTAGAAAGTAATTTGGACAGTTTTAAAGTTATATTTTATTACAATTAACCACTAACCACAAAATTTAGTTGGATTCTTTTTGGTTATAAATATAGTGTTGAGTTACTATTGAATAGTAATTTTTTTGTAGTTAACCAATAAAGGTAGTTTTACTAACAGTAGTTATTCTTTTGTACCTTAATTACCACATAATTACATGGTAATAAGGTAGTAATTACATTTAATTACAATTTTTTGTTACCTTGAAATTACATGGTAATAAGGGTACCGTAAAAGAAAGTGTTACCAACATCTTTTGGCCCTAATGTTCTCAGTCTGAATCAGACTGAAGAACCCTAATGTGTGCTGGAGCTGATGTGGATTTAGAGAAATACCTAAATTTACAGGATTCTGTTAGTCACCCTTTGCATTGATCAAAAGGAGAGTAAATTATTGTTACAAATTGAAGAAAGTTTGTGGATTTCTAAGCATTATGTTAGTTGTGGGTTCATGATGAGTGTAACTGGTCATCATGAATGTTTAATGTTACAGAAAATAACTTCAAAGGATACTCACCTTGTCTCTTTTCTTTCCTTGCATGTTCCTCAGAGTTTAGCCTTCAACCTGATGTGTGTAATTACCACGTTTAGTGATTATAGCTGCGCCACCAAGTCATTATTGATAAAATGAAAAGAAAAACTGGGTCAAAAACTGATGCTGAGGCTGCTTGGAAGGAGAGAAACCTCCCACATTTGGGTTTTACAGATGAAATAGAAAACAGCAGCCGCATCCATCCATCACTGATTCTGTTCGCAGCAGCTCCATTTGCCTGCAGCTCTCTGTGTCTCCACTTCAACACCAGGAGATTTATTTATTTGATTATTGCCCTGCAAGCTGGCAAGTCCTTTTGATCGATGGCCATTGTGTCCGAACAGCCGCTGGGCTGTTAGTCTCTTTGGCAGCAAACAGCTTGAAGGACAGCTCTGTGGAGACTCTATTTGCTCTCTTTCACTTCACCTGCTCTTTTTCACTTCCTCCTGCTCATTACCCCCCCTCCGTCACTGGTTTACCCCCCTCCTTTACTGCTCTCTGTCTATTACTCAGTGCTAAAATTTCTGCTGCCACCTTCGCATTCTTTTCCCCTTCGCTTGTTCTTTGGATGCTAATGTGACCTTGGCCAGTTTAATGTCAGTAGTAGGAGTGTGTTGGAGGATATCTGTGCAAGGATGAATGGGAGAACTCGCTGGGTGACCTCGCCTTTAACGCATGTGATCTTGCACACACAGTGTAGTTTGGTCTCTGCTCTTGTGTCCCTGACAGCAAAGCCACAAACATGACATGTGGCATGTTCGGTAAACCGGGAGTGAAAGCACACAAGTGTTCTGGCTTTGGGCGAGAAGGTGCAACCCCTTGCCTTGCAAAGGAATATAGAATCACTATTTTCAGAGGATGCTCTTTCAAATGTTTAACTTTTTTATTAACAAAGGAATCCCAGACATGGCACAGAATGGCCTTTTTTTATCACAAACATTCTGGCATTAAGAAACATAAAAAATATAAATATATAAGTGTTGTGGTCAGTCATAGTTGCTCTTTATAAAGGAAATGAAAAAAATGGAATCACTATAGTTTTGTAGTTGTAATCTGAACCCATGCATCAGATTAAACGTGTTAATTAGTCTTTAGTTAAAAAAGAAGCTCACACCTTGAAGAGCTGCTGCTTAAAGGAGACATATCGTGCTTTTAAATCCAGCTTTTTACATATAAATAATTCAGTAAAGTGGAACTGCAATGAATTGAATTCCTCATTTTTTTTATTTTACAAACCCCTCTTCCACCTTTTGCTGAGGTGTGTCTCAGATCAACTCATTTTGGTTCATCCATCCATCCATCCATTTTCTGTACACGCTTATTCCTTTTCAGGGTTGCGTGTGTCACTGGTGCCCATATCCAGCAGTCACAGTGCGAGGGGCGGGGTACACCCTGGACAGGTCGCAAGTCCATCACAGGGCCACACATAGAGACAAACGAGACAAACAACCATTCACTCTCTCACTCACATTTAGGGACAATTTAGAGTTATCAATTAACCTAACAGTCATGTTTTTGGTCTGTGGGAGGAAGCCGGAGTACCCGGAGAGAACCCACGCATGCACGGAGAGAACATGCAAACTCTACCCAGAAAGGTCCCCAGACCGGGATTTGAACCGGTGACCTTCTTGCTGAGAGAACATTTTGGTTCATTTAAATCTAAATGAGGCATTACACATCCCAACCCCCTCCAGCTTCCATTGTTCATCTAGTTTGATAAAGTGGGTTGACGAATGAACAGAAACACTGATGTAAACAACAGAAGATTGGCCATCCAGCTTACAGAGTGAGACCCAGAGAGAAGGGAGGATAAAGACGTCAAATTTGTACTTGGTAAATCCAGACCTTATTAGGCAGTTCCATTGCAAAAAAAATGATGTAGTAGTTGAGAAAATGTCATAGAAAAGTGAATGGGTTGAAATAAAGGTATCTTTGCAGCACTTGCAGAGACAAAATTCTACTTTTCTGCACTCCTGGAAGACTCCAAGTATTAGGGGTGTCCCGATCTGATATTGATATCGTATATTGGTTCGATATCAGCCAAAAAATGAGTATCGGAGTTTATCGGCCTGCATAAAAAATCTCCAATAAAAACGTTCCGATATAAGCAGTCCAATCCAGCAGTCCACT